TACTGAATATTCAATAAGTGGTGCAGTTGTACGTTATTTGCCCTAAAAGACATCTTTTGGGAGATTTTGATTTGTATATATGCTTCCAAGATTATTTCTATATTCTTCGCCAATTCAAACCCAGCTACCAAATCTATCTTGTAAATCAAACATGAGCCTTTTCACTTGACCGTCTTTCGCGACACCCCGTGTATGTCGGCGCGCCATGCGTCGACGACGACGATTATCAACTCTGACACGTGTTGATGAACGCCATCCGATCAGCCAGTCTGGTGTCGTCGTTGTCGCGTTAACACTTCGCTGAATTTTGTAATTTAACCCAACCCAATTTGCCGCCCTGAAGAGACGAAGGCTCGAGGGGGAAGCATCGCGGTCTGCGCTTCTCTCCGCGCGTCGTCCTTATCGTCTTCGTTTTCTTCGTCGTCGTCTTCTTCGTCGTTTAGAGTCATTTGAAGCGCTCGTGCGAACACGTTCCCTGGCGTCATCGGCAATTACATCGATAAACGACACGCCGGAATATCGGTCGCGATCGGTTTTAAATGAGAGGCCGGATTACGCGGCTATGTCACGGTAAAAAAAGCCGCGGCGCAATTTTCATTTTGTTGACGCGATAAATCTCACACAATAAATCTCACAAAGTCGAAAATTGTCCCGTCGGGAGTTAATCGGTTTAATGGAGATCCAATAGCTTCTAATGCATATCTGCGCTAATGGATGTCGAGCTTTTTTTAACTGTTAAAAAAAATTTTTTTTTTAAATATACCAGGTGACGCCATCTAATATTCTAATTCTTTTGAAGTAAAAGAGACTTTTTCTATACTGCTCTTGTTAATCATTAAATGTCCTTTTTTAAGAACTTGTAATCAGTAATCCAATAAGTGACCCTTGGTTGCATAGTGTCCTCTGTAAAGGACACCTTTCTCGCCGCAGTTTTTCAATTTGGTCGCCATATTGAATCTGCTATTTTGATTTTTTTAATTTTAATTTCAGATTTGTAATTAGCAATCACAAAAACACTTGTATACTAAAATTCAGCAAAATACGTTTAATAGAAAAATGTATGCAACAAAGGGATAAGTTACAAGTAATTTTATTTGAAACGCGAGCGTAGAATTTGATCTCTAATAATTTTATCGTTACGTCCCGGCCTCTCATTATATTTAGTATTTATGCGTTTACGTTGTTATACATCACTTCCTCATTTTGCATACAAAAATATCATTGTTACGAGTTGGCAGTTGTTACAATAGTATTAGCGAAGTTTCGACGAGTGATGCAACAACGTGAATGAATTATGAGATGATGCGACAAGTAAATTAGTTCAGGTGCCAATAATACTGAAAAATACATTGCCGAAAGTGTGAAACAGTGAAAGTTGGCCAAAAGGGATAATTTACAGTCATGACAATACGTTAGCAGTAAAACCGATCGTTGACGCGACATTTTCAACTAGGCGTCTGCAACGTCTTCTCGCACAAATTTGTTTCAAGCGGACAAGAAAAGCAATTGTGGATATAATTAGAGGGCTAGCTGCACAACTGTAGACTAACCAATTTTATAACATTTTATAAAAACGGAAAAAATGAACTCTTAAAGTAGAGTTGTTACAAAATGTATAAAATATAACCTACTGTTGCAGCAAGCCCTTCAATTAATCTTTGAAAGCGAATTTAAAAGATAACATTTAAATATATTCTCATGATTTAGAATGATTTGTTACTAAAAACTAAAATAGTTAGGTCTGACTAATTTCGCACTGCTACTACTTAATTCTTTACGTATATTACGTACGTGACTGAATTAAAAATGGCTTTCTAATTTCTGGTGTTTCTGAAAAAAAAAATTTTTATATTTTCCCCCTAAAAAGGTGTTCTAATCCAGTAATTAGTTTAGAAATTATGAATTTGCATGTGCACGCGAACAAGAATATGTAATTTATTAACGTTCTCTCAACATAGCAGATCCACTCCTGAATATGAAATATCTCAAGACCCCCTACGTTCATTTAATCAGAGTTCTGACAGCTTCAAGGATAAAACTCAATTAAATATGAATTAACATGACAATGTACAAGAATTCATCTCGCTTTGCCGCAAATTGCTACGATATCAATTACTAGACAGAATGCAATTAAACATAATTGAACTTAGAAACTAAACTCGCATTTTCCAACTTTATATTTTTTATTTTTTTTATTTTTACATTTTTCTCACAAACGACAAGGTAATCAATATTTATTATTGTATAAGGAATAAAGTATAACAGATAAAGTTCAATTCATTCAAACTTGCATGTACAAAAGTTACGATCTACCTCGCGATTTGGCTCGACGTGTGTTTGCATGGCGATTATTTCTTCCGTTCAGATCTATTGTTCTTACGATCCCGACCTTGTTAAATCGACCTCGAAAACGTCGTTGTACTTTTGCCAGCGGATCTGTCGTTGATTCTTAAAAATTATGTTTCCTTTTTGACACATTCGCCAAATTGAAGGTCCGTTGGTAGGAATTTGAGGAATTTCAGTCAGCTTCGCGATGCACATAACGGTGACAATCTAATTAAGACTAATGGATACTTAATCGATTACTGTTTAACGGATAGCATAGCTAAATAATTGGAATTTCAACTCATCATTTTCCCCTTATACTTCTCTACTCTACAAATAATTGATCTTACATCGATAATTTGAGTTCTTTTAGTCCTAAGAATTTACTCATTAACTGTACATATATATATAGTTGAACTAATTACGTTAACTGCAAGTTAAAAATTATATGAGATCCATTAAGATAATCTCGTCCGTTCATAATCCGTTCTCATTAATGCATTAAGTATTGCTAATAATTTAGTAAAGTTTTATAATGTACAAAATATTTTTTGTACATCTATATTTATTTATTATTAGCTGTGTGATTATATAATCATACATTTATATTTATTTTTCATTTTGCTCGACAATATAAATTACTATTATTATCATTATTATTAAATTTGAAAAGTTTATCGATTCTTGTTATTCTTTTTGCACAAATACATTCTTCGATTTATTTAATTTAATGTGCTGCATAGCAAAAATTCTCTTTTAGCAAGAGTATATTGTATCTCTTTTCAATATATATATTATATATATATATATATATATATATATAATTAGGTAAATCGAAGAATGTATTTGTGTAAAAAGAATAACAAGAATCGATAAACCTTTCAAATTTAATAATAATGACAATAATAGTAATTTATATTGTCGAACAAAACGAAAAATAAATATAAATATATAATTATATAATCACACAGCTAATAATAAATAAATATAGATGTACAAAAAATATTATGTACATTATAAAACTATATATTTGTCTATCTGCACATAATAGAAAGAACGAGCTATTCGATTTGTTTAAGCACGACTAATATTTGAAGATCAATAAATGTCATTGCTCGAGATAATTTTAAATCTCCTATACAAGAAGGTGTTTAATTCTTTAAAGTAAACTCTCGGTAAAGTAGATGTTTATATATAATTTTTCTTAGAAATTCCTCTTTTTTCCTTCTTTTCTCATAAGTTTATCTTATCCTTTTCTCACCAAGTTTAACTTCTATTTTTTATAATTAACATTATATTAAAACTTTGCGTATATATTTACTTGATGATTTTCTAGGAAGATAAATAACAAAGCTTTATTTAAATTTGCGAGAGAAATTTTCAATAATTGCATTCGATATTTAATTGTCAGAACACACAGTGTTCGTAATGCATGAGGTAAAACGAAAAAGCTTTCTAGCGTAAAATTTTGGCAAATGAGAACTCGACTTCAGTATTGTGTCGAATCTGGGCATCATTTCCTGCGGAAATGACCATGTGGTCAATTACGATAAGCGCACTTTAATAGCGCGGTAAACGACGTTACATCGACAACTATCGATTTTACGGTCAATGATTACGCACGTTTCGCGATATCACGCAATTGTATTCGCGAATTCGAATTTTACCCGCGCGGACGCGCGTGTAAAATCCTGAACAATGAAAATATTGTTTTGTTGGCATGAGTGGCTGCCCCTCGTTGGACCTCCACATTTTTTGGCTATACGACCGAAACGCGCAGCTGTCATACGGAATAATCAAGTTAAAGAGAGGAGCGAGAGACGCGACGTGACCAAACCGGTGTATCGTCGCTCAGAAATACCCGCGCGGGGTCAAAGTAAAGACTTTATACGATTCTCGACAGTGACTCTCCCAACAATTCCGACGATTTATTCCTGCTTGCGAGGAAAATAAAATTTCTTTTTACAATTCTATACTTTTATATTCTAATTAATTTAACAAATACCGCGACAACAGAAAACGCGGCATATCTCGGAAACCCAATGGTTTATTTTCGACGCTGAATTTCTTGTTGGCACATCAGAAACGATTATCAAAATGAAAGCAAGAATTTCCATCACATTTATCATCACGTTTATTATTGATTTACTTGCATTTATTTGCGAATAAGAAATTCCGCGAAATAAAATTACTCCTTTCCAAAGATCTAACGTTATCTTGTTTGCTCATTATTCCCGTTTCCCGATGAGCAGTTCGATTCTCGCGAGCAACGTCGAAGCGGAGCGACGGCGAGGAGGCATGTAGGTGCAGCGCTCCGATGAGATCGATAGTTTGGAGCGGGGTCACCTTGAGAAGGGGGACGCGCACCCGCCCCCGCTTCGCGCTTCGAAATTCCCGCGTCGTCGGGCCGGCGGGTTTTCGCGCGCATTTTGCCGCCCGGTATTTATCGTCGCGAAAGAGGAGCCGACGGCGCGGTCCGCGCGGCGGCCTTTCCTGGCGCTCCGCCACGCGAACTATTACGGTCGCGACGCGGCCGACTCCGTGATAATAATATGATAATCGCCGTCACGTGGTGCGGGAATATGCGGGGGTTGGCTGGCGGCGGGCGGTCACGTGGCCGCCGGCGCCGCGGGCCAATCGCGCGCGGCAGTTCGCCACCCTAGTAAACGAGAGGGATGCGGTACAGGCCGGTCGGTCTCTTCGTCGCGCCCTCGAGTAATTATCCGTGTCCGGCGATCTGCTCCTTTACGATACCTGGTATGGCGAGAATTTTCGGGGCGCGTTAATATTGATTGTAAATTTAACAAAATGTTCGCAACGAAGGGTTTTATTTTACCAAAATAGGAATTTTATCACATCGCTGCGAGAAATTGAGTGTTGTGGATGCGAAACAATTACGTTCGCAAAACGTCGTTTCGTTCTCATAAAAGATTGACGCACGCTGAACCTCGCGGCTGACCTCTTTCTTCGAAAGACCAGAGTCGGGAGTGGCCGCGTCGCGTAATAGTTATCGCGTTTATGTAAGATGCAGCGAAATCCAGAATTATTTCGAGCCCGGCGCGTCCTCAACGAGACGATACTCCGCGTGCGAATTACGCGAGACGAGGGCAGACCACGTGGTCCGATCCTCCTCTCTCGCCGGGTGGCTCTAAACTTAGGAACCGGCACAAATCGAATATAACGAAGTCCATTCGCTTTCGCAGCGCTTTCTGCATCCTTTCTCGCATATTTCGCTTTCGCAAACGTGCGAAACGCGGTGAGCGCGACGAATGGCATATCAAAATTATATTATACAAATTCCTAAGTTTCAACTCCTTCGTGATAGTTTCCATCGATATCTCGATTGGCGGTTTATTCATCAAACTTTCGTGCATCCGTTCGGCGCTATCGATCACGCTACAAAGTGTCAATCGCTATACCCCACCGCAGTATTTCTCAAATGACGTTCCTCCCTAGAATCCTGCAGTTCCGCTGAGTGGAAGTAAGTGCTTCTGCGAGCAATCAGTCCGATGACCCGGATTCACCGGTTCTGTTGTTTCGATCCGTTGCCGGATATAAATTTTAGGTTTTTTTTTTTTTGTAAAAAGTCTCCGACTGGAGTGGAATCATAATGAGCTTCGTGATCAAAATAAATTGCGAAATTATTTTAAATCGATTCCTCTGAAATTCGAGTAATATTTTTCAGAGTTCGATCAAGTCAATATATTTTATCTCCCTCAATTGGTTATTTATATTGTGTACTAGATTACAAAAAGTAAGGAAGAGATTGGCCAAATAGAAGAGTGGAATTGTTGATTTGATACGATAACGCGCGGTGTTCGCAATACTTCTTTAACAGTCTTCATTCTTTCCCTTTGAAAAGAGTCATTAAAAAAATCGTACTCTCAATCGAATTATTAATCATTCAACAAATTCGTGAATAGCCTTTGAATAAGTTTGTTACTTTATAAGACAGGTGTGATTGATCCGTTGCTATTTGAAGAAGTAAGAAAGTTTGTTATTCGAAACTTCGACAGAATCGATATATTATTTATGAAGAGTTCACCACTGTTGCTTCTTTCACTTTCTTAATTTGTACTAAAGAAGTTTAATCGAATAACAGACTGGGAAGATGAGTTTAGAACGGAAAAATTAAAAAACGTCTTTCAAACGTTAACGTTGTTAACGGTGTAATTTATACGTCGAGGAAATAACAAAATTATTATTCATCGAATAATTCTGCGAGAACAGAGTTATTCCTGCCTGAACGAACAGAAATAATTTTTAACGTGCTTGATACGGATAAACTTTTCTGCAGCTTTCATTAAGAAGATCGTGCTGACAAATTGCGGCAAATCAAATCAATCAACGCGTGCACAATCAATCTAATTTACAAATTAGTAAAATGATTGAGTATAATGTTTAATTGGTTTAACGTTCATAATTCGATAGATATTTTCCAATCAATAATTCAATGCATATTTTAACATATATGTATATATATTTTTAAATAAAATAGCATAACGATATTTTGTGAATGTAGCTGTTTCGTAATCATAATTTTTTTTCAACCCTTTGGTCGCGTTAATTTTAAATTTCAGTCTCTTAATTGTGTAACGTGGGTAACATTTAAAGTATTGAAATAATCAGATATCTTTTTTCTTTGCAGCTACCGTGGGACATGATCCGCAGACGAGCAACGGCGGTCAGCCACAGTTGCAGCAACAGCAACTACAATCGGGGGGTTGGCTGGGAGGAAGTGCCGGCGACACTGGTGGCGGACTGGTCTGCCGAGCTGGCAAATTGGTCAACGGCAACAGCAGTAACGGCAAACCGTCGCTACACCATCCTCAACAACAGCAGCGTCAACAGCAACAGCAGCGGCAACAACAGCAAGGCCAATCTGGGGGTGTGGGGGATGACGAAGACGGGGGTGGAGGGAGCGGAGGGCTGGAGGGGACGGACGCAGAGGCGAACGACGCTGTTCACCTCAAGAGACGGGTGGGACTCGTCAGTGGGGTGGCTCTAATCGTCGGCACGATGATCGGCTCCGGGATTTTCGTGTCGCCGTCGGGTCTGCTGTTGCGCACCGGCAGCGTCGGCATTAGTTTTGTCGTATGGACCGCGTGCGGTCTGCTGAGCCTCTGCGGCGCCCTCGCCTACGCCGAGCTGGGCACGATGAACACGAGCAGCGGCGCCGAGTACGCGTACTTCATGGACGCGTTCGGCGCCCCGCCTGCCTTCCTCTTCTCCTGGGTGTCCACCCTGGTGCTAAAGCCGTCGCAGATGGCGATTATCTGCCTGTCTTTCGCCCAGTACACCGTCGAGGCGTTCACCGTCGACTGCGAGCCGCCCGACCAGGTGGTCAAGATCGTCGCCCTGCTGGCGATCGTTCTGATACTCCTAATCAACTGCTACAGCGTCAACCTGGCAACCGGTGTGCAGAACGCTTTCACCGCCGCCAAGCTGATGGCCATACTCGTGGTAATAATTGGCGGCTCGTATAAATTGATACAGGGTAACACGCAGCATCTGCAAACGGCGTTCGACACCATCGACGGTAGCACCATCAACATCGGCCGCCTCGCCACCGCTTTCTACACCGGCCTCTGGGCATACGACGGCTGGAACAATCTCAATTACGTGACCGAGGAGATCAAGAACCCTTCCAAGAATCTGCCCAGGTCCATCATGATCGGCATACCGCTCGTCACGCTCTGCTACGCGCTCATCAACGTATCTTACCTGGCGGTCATGTCACCGTCAGAAATGATCGAGAGCGAGGCCGTGGCAGTGGTAAGCATGGTCGACGAAAATCCGCGTTTATACATTGCTTCTCTCGGGAGAAATTTAAGAAAAGATCCTTTTCGAAAGAAACGACGCATGAAAGATAGGGGCGAAACCGTAAAATTGACATGCATTCTTCGAATTCCTTGCGATATCGCAAGTTAAGTTGAATTATTCGGAGAGAGATTTTGCTCGAATTAATTTGTTTCTCTATTCTGATAACGAATCATGCGATATTCTTCCGCAGACGTTCGGCATTCGGATTCTGGGCGTGATGGCGTGGCTAATGCCGCTCTCCGTAGCGATCAGTACCTTTGGATCCGCTAATGGCACCCTGTTTGCCGCGGGTAGGCTCTGTTTCGCCGCATCGCGAGAGGGTCATCTGCTCGACTGCTTGAGCTACGTGCACGTGCGACGCTTCACTCCTGCCCCAGGCCTCATCTTCCATTCCCTCGTAGCAGGTATCGAATTAAATCCAGACGAAAGGTGTGTTCCGTTTCATGCATGATGCGCATGATTTATCATTTTATCCTAGTTTCGCATTCAGTTGACAACAAAGATAAAATGATACATCATGCGTTGCATGCGTAAAACGGAACGCACGCTAAACGAACGAATGCAAATAAATACGATCGAGCGAAGCACTATCGATCGCACTCGCCGCAGCCAAATTGTTCGTCCGTATTTATTCGCGCTCATTTGGAATTTAATTTCACACAATCGCCTTAAATTAAAAAAAAAATTGTTTTTTAATATATTTAATATTTTTTCGTTGTAAATTTTTGACTCGTCTGTTAAATATTTTCTAAGCGCCCTAAATTTTCGAGTTGTATCGTCGACGTCCTTCCGGCTTATTTGAGATTTTGATTTATATAACGTCTGTTGTTCTACTTCCAAGGCGAGACCGTTGCTATATGGACTGTGTCTACTTCAAGGTATCTAAATGTGTTGTAAGCCAAAGTACTGATTTCGCAGGCGCGATGGTTCTCTCCGGTAACATCGATTCGCTGATCGACTTCTTCTCGTTCACCGCATGGATATTCTACGGCGGCTCAATGGTCGCCCTTCTGGTGATGCGGAGGACCAGGCCCAATCATCCGCGACCGTACAAATGCCCGCTAATCATACCTGTGCTCGTGCTCGTCATCTCCGCGTATCTCATAGTGGCGCCGATTATCGACAAGCCCCAAATTGAGTATTTGTACGCGGCTGGCTTTATCGGTGCAGGCATGCTCGTCTACCTCCCGTTTGTAAAGTTTGGATATGTGCCCAAATTCATGGGTGGGTATATACGCCGTTACACTGCCAAAATAAAGTCAATTCAACGAACTATTAGAAATTTCACGATGCCTGTATCAGTCATTACAATCATAATATATTATAATATGAAATATAATATATAAACTCCGAAAATATATGTTCTCCGAAAAAGAAATAAATATCTTCCTCATCAATAATCGAAAAATCTGAAATTTAAATGAAAAAAGTCTGATATTAAGTTTCAAGAAATTTGAGATAAAATTCAGAAAAAATATATGTAAAGTTTTACATCTAAAAAAAACAGCTGATAATATTAAATTTATAATTTTATCTTGAAGTCTGAAAGTAAGATTAAAATTCAAATTCGTCCGAATTTTTTTTTTAATATAAAATAAAATTTTTACCGAAATTTAATCTTGTTTTCTTATATTTCTATACTATTCTGTACTATTGCTTAATATTAAATTTCAAATTAAATGGTTTTGTTCGTTTTCTGATTATAGAAGGTGTTAATGCCTTCCTGCAGATGTTACTAGAGGTGGCTCCAACGGCGGCTGCCTTCGACTGATTTCATTTCAAGAGATCAACGGTACAGTTCTCCAGAATGCCGAATCATTCCATTATGGCATTGCGTGAACTGTATGCACACCTGAATATACCTATTTTAAATACATGCAGACGAGAGCGTTATATCCTATATTACAAAGCTCAAGGCTGGCCCAAAAAATTTATCCAAAAAAAAAAAAGGTATATATATTATATAAAAATATATTATTTTATTACTTGTTATTCTTCGTACATAGTATACAACATGCAGAAGAGATATTATTGTTAGACAATAGATAGTTGATGTTGTAACGAGAAAGCGATGAATCAACAGAAAATATTTTAAATGTTTGCAGTTACAAATTTGTCTCTTTTCTTCGTACATCCTTGTCCTTTTCCTGAATTACCAAGTCGAATTGTTGTATAATATTTTAATTAATTTAAGCAGATTTTTTTTCATTAATTTTTACTTTTAAAATTTCAAAAATAATCCTCATAATCTAATTCATGATTTTTCCAATTAGACATCTTATAACTGACAAAATTATTAATATTTACAAATATACAATTTTTATTCTTAATCAACAGCCCTTACAAGACATTTTAGTTTCAACAACAGAGTCTCATGGTTCGGAAACTATTCCTACTGATAAATTCAGCTCTTCTTCTTCAAGACATCCTTCGGCACCTTCCCGTAAACACGTAGAATGCTGCTGTCCTTCTTCCGCGTCTTCTTGGCCTTAGGTTTGAGCAAACTACTGGTAAGTCCAGACTTGTGACCCTCCTCCTCCTTCTTCCTCTCGTTTTCTATCTTTCGACGCCTCTTTAACGCGTTGTAATTCATTCTCCTGTTCTTGGGAGGTATTGCACCTAAGCTAATAGCAAGCTCGACCTTTGCTCTCTTCGCCTTCGGCCTCTCGAAACCGGACGTGCCGAATTTGATAATCTCGTATCGCAGCTTCTTCATCTCTTTTTCTTGCTGCTGCTTCAGCTCGGCCGGCGTCGGTTTCACAGACTCATCCTCGAGCTTCTCTTTACTATCCGAGCTACCATCCGCAGATTTTACCTTCTTCTTTGGCGCTTTGTAATTCACAGAGACATAATTGCTCGTCGCAGTTTTCTTGACTTGCGATCCGCGCGTTGGAACAAAGTCTTCCATCTCTTCTCGCACTGAAGAAAAAATTAATATCAATAAATATTTCATGCCTTCTCTGAGCTAACCTGACTTAACCTCCGTTAACAGTATACAAAGAAAAATCTAAATTTTCATAATTGCGAAGACAATTTAAAGAATTACGAAATTAAAAAAAAAAAGAACGCTTTAAATATTTTAAAAGCGAAAAGTACAACATAAATTTGCATGCATTTGACTACGTCGGTAATTATATTACATTTAACTAACCACGTTAGCGAAACCAAGCATACAAATCGCAGGTCTGTTTTAAAATCTGTCTGCGAACGCCACGCGTCGCTACTCGCTGCGTCAGCTGCGTAATGCCGCGTTCACATGAAAATTCGGAAACACCAGCTGAACTTATTGCACTTTTCATATTTAACTTCTCTGCGCCCCAGGAACACCTTTTACACCTCGTCGGTGCTTTCAAGCGCCGTAATTAGACAGCGATAATTGAGATTGAACTGGAATTATTGAAGAAAAAATTAATATTAAGTTTAGTAAATTTTGCTTTAATTGATCAAATCTCAATCCAATCTCAGAGTGTCAATCGCTAGTGTGATTATGACTTTACTTGTCCTACACATGCACGCGCGCGTATAGGTGCGTATACATACATGCAAAAAGATATAAAGTTGGAGCAGTTGCGTCATGCCGAGCAGTTGAAACCTTGGAATATGTCTATAGTTCACACACGTGGTGCGTTATATATATGTATATATATATGTATATATCAACAATTTTCCACCCGGTGAACGCTTAACCCAAAAAAAAAGTTGAGCCGTTGGAAGGTGAGAGCAATCGGGATATCAAATTTTGTCAATATTATTGTACAATGGCCCAATATCCGCCCATTAATGTACGTCTGGCGGTGAACAGGGTAGACTTCAATCTAATAACGAACGAAGGCATCCAGCCGCGGCTCTACACCCCCGGCGAGGAGATATCCAGTCAGCCGGATTTCCTAAGGTAGATAAATCGGTCTACCCTCGGTTTTTTACGCAACCTCTTGGGATTATGAAACTGATTTAAATTAATTAGAACTGAGTGTGCAATTAAATTAGAGCTGAATGTTTAATTAATTGGATACTGATTGCCTAAATTAGAGGCCATGGGACCTACGTCGATGAGGACAAGACGTTGCGCGCATCGGTCGCTGGGATTCTGGAAAAGGTGAACAAACTTATATCGATTAGGCCCTTGAAGGCGCGCTACAATGGGGAGATCGGTGATCTCATCGTGGGAAGGATAACGGAGGTGCAGCAGAAGCGTTGGAAAGTTGATATAAATGCCAAGCTTGACGCTGTTCTGTTATTGTCCAGTGTTAACTTGCCTGGTGGTGAATTGGTAAGATATATATATGTATACAGATAAGGCGCTTCTGTTTCTTTAAACATTAATATAAAATATTTCGAAAATTAAGTCTTTTTTAATAACAGATTTGTTTCTTCCAAATACATAAAAATAATCTTGCGTTTGAAATCAAGTTTATCCTATGAAGTTTGAGATAGTATTTTTTTTTTTTTTAGTTTTAATTTTCAGAGCTTCATTTAGAATTTGGAGAAAATAAAGTTTTATTTATTATTGCTATTATTTAATGTATTTGAATATTTTTCATTCAAAATATATTGCTCTCCAAGTACATCAAGTACTCTTGTAGTCGATTCAAATTTTGTTTAAAAAATTTTCAATTAAAGTCTCTATTTAAGAAATGCTAATGCGTGTATTTATCATAATAATAAAAATACCCAATGATTGTTAGAATGCATTATGTATTGCATTTGCTCTTAAAATTCACAGAGGAGACGATCCGCCGAAGATGAACAGACGATGCGCAGGTACTTGCAGGAGGGAGACCTGATATGCGCGGAAGTGCAATCGATCTTCGCCGACGGTTCGCTCTCCCTGCACACGCGAGTGCTGAAGTATGGCAAGCTGTCGCAGGGGATTATGTTGAAGGTACCGCCGATGTTGATTCAACGCAAGAAGACGCACTATCACATCCTAGAGAACGGCGCCACTCTGATACTCGGTAACAACGGCTACGTGTGGATCGGCGCGAGCATTCAGAACGTCGATAAGTCCGAGGGTGGTTTCACGGAGGATCTGTCGAAGATCCCGGTGGAGAATCGCAACGTGTGCACGCGGTTGCGTAATTGCATCTTGATCCTGGCGCAGTGCAACATGCTGCTGTCCGACACCTCCGTGACGTACGCTTACGAGGAGTCCTCTAAGTACGAAGTGCACGAATTGCTGCATCCCGAGGCGATGGTCGACGTGTCGCTGTTGACGCATCAGAGACTCGCGCGGTCCATGTGATGCAGCGGTCTTCGCGCCGAAGAGATAGCATTGTAACTTTTGATACTGGTATAATAATATAATTATAAGGCTGAAGGCGTGCTTAAAATACAGTAGAGGGATGAATTTATTCTTCCATTTGCAATCTTGAAATGTAAAAGACGTGATGAATAAAAAGGATTTTCTACATAATATTGTAATATACCAAGCCGTTTGATGAATCGATTTGAATGACGACACTTACGAAAGTCGATACCTACGAAACACTTTCACTTCTCGCCGGGAGAATCGAGTGGGGCTAGATTATAACATGTTGCAGTAAGAACGATAACTATTATATATATAAAACACTGCAGTATTTTCATCGATAGATCTATATTTGGCGAAGCGGTCCAGGGTGTAAAGTGATCGGACGGACGCTAATCTGAGTATTGATTAAACAAGTCGAACTTGGAAACAGGTAGTCGGCAAGAGTGGCGTCGAGAGACATGGACGCATGTTTCAATGCCTTCGATAAAGACGGCGACGGATTCCTGTCGATCTCGGAATTCGATCTCATATGCCGCGCGTTATTTCGAAATGACCGCGGCAAGATTTACGGCCTCGAGGAGGATCAACTGCGCGAGGTGTATGCGATCTTTGACATCAAAGGCGACGGCCTAATCGACAGGGAAGAATTCGAGGTATATAAGGGGTGTTCGATATGTTATTAATTAAATTATTTGTTTTAAAGAAAGGAAGAGCTTTAGATAAAATGTAGAAAATAGTTTAAACCTCTTCTCTATATTAAGTATTAAAAAATAATAAAAATATATTGTTAGTTATATATATGCCTTTGTAACAATTTTGTTCTTGCTGTCAAATCTGGGAAGGTAATAGACTGTCTATATATAACTACGTATACATGTCTTTTATATATATATAGCTACACGTAATGATATCAACGCAATTTTATACTTAGGTATTTGTAACGTCCTTTCTGAAATTATTTAGTTACCGAAAGTGCTAATAAATTTTTGAATTGACGTATATATTTAGAAATTTTCATTGACTTGTAATATTGTTTCTATTGATGCAACTTGTAGGTCTGCTGGAACCGATGGATCAAAATATGCACGCGTCCCAAAAGTGCCTTCCTAATTGTGGATGTGCAAAATGATTTTATAACAGGTTCCTTGAACATAAAGCAGTGCGCCGCGCAGCACGACGGTTCGGAAGTAATCGACCCAATTAACCGATTGCTGGAAACTGTACCGTTCGATTCGGTATTTTACTCCTTGGACTGGCATCCTGTGGATCACGTGTCCTTCATTGACAATTTGCACTTGAGGTAATTATCAGCATATTATTATTGTAAAACGCAAAAGTCTATTATGTCTTTACTTGAGACTTTATATCTAATACAAGCTTGAATCTTGAAAACGTTTAAGTTCTACGTTTAATTACTCTAACTTTGATTAAAGTATTAAAACTTCTATTTATATTAACATAAAAGAGATTAACACAAAATCCAGCAAACGGAAAGAAAATCGGCACATTCAATATTCATTTGCGATCGCTGTCGTTATCAGAGAGGTGGACATCAGCAGCAACATCTCGAAGGAAGCGGCGCGGGTGTACGACACAGTGACGTTCCAGGGACCACCGTTGCTGAAGCAACGTCTGTGGCCGCGTCACTGCGTGCAAGACTCGTGGGGCGCCGAGCTCCACAAGGACCTGAAGATCGTCGACAACGCGATCAAGATCTACAAGGGCACGAATCCGGAGGTCGACTCGTACTCGGTGTTCTGGGACAACAAGAAGCTCACCGAGACGACGCTGTCGTCGCAGCTGCAGGAGAAAGGCGCCACCGACATCTACATCTGCGGACTGGCCTACGACGTTTGCGTGGGCGCTACCGCGGTGGACGCGCTCACCAGCGGCTATCGCACTATACTGATCGACGACTGCAGCCGCGGCGTGGATCTCGTCGACATCGAGAAGACCAAGGCCACCGTGATAGGCAGCAACGGCGTGATAGTGAACTCCAGCCAGGTGAAGGCCATGGTGGAGGGCAGAGACCGACGGCCGGAGCTCGGCTACAAGCTCGCATTAGAAATCAAGCAAAAATTAAGCCTCGGTGAATAATTATAACAGCAAATAAGTATAGTATACCTAGAAACGTTCAATTGGTAGATTAATATGAGAGACCATAATCTCGCGTTTTGAAGCAGATCTTGTAAAGCGTAGAACAGCTGAAAATGAAAAAGATGCAAAGATGAATTATAGATGGAGATACCTTTTTTTGTCGCTGAGTGTTAAAGTAGTTAAATTAGGTATTAGAAGGTAAGCGTTGAAATTTGTTAATAAGTCTGTTATCTGTTATCTTTGGAAAGAATTCTTTAGGAGAGATAAAATTTATAAAAATTAGAAGATCCAAAGGGCCTAAGATCTGAAATGAGTGATATAAGCATTTAAACTTAGTGTAGATATATAAAATTTAGTCGATGTTAGAACTTGATGAGAAAAGATATTTGTTAAATATTTATTGAGAAATATATGTAAGTACATTGAATCAACGATGATTTAAATCTATGTATGTATGCATATATCAATGAGAGTGAAATTCGTCGGGAACAAAACTTCCATTATAGATTCTCTTATAAAAGTATTTATTGTGTTGGAATAATAATAAATAAAATTAAAGTCTTAGAATATGCCGCATTGATAAATGCAAAATTATTAATAATTTTAAATATTATTTTAAGGCAGGAATATAAGAAATAAAGCGTTGTGAGTTTTATTATACACTATACATCTTATTTATACTAGATTATATAATGTAGGCGTTATTTGTTCTTGATTTACGATAGATTTTATCGATATTAAAAATAAATGTTATACAGATATATTGTGCCATATTTTCATCTTTAACAAAATAACCAATATTTACCATTATATTACAAGATTTACAATAGACTTTATATTTTCATCGATTTTTACTTACATTTCAGTTTCCGCATTTTTATAACATTCTAATAGATATACATAAATATGGTAATTCTGTGAAATATTAGATAAATCGTGTGGCTTTAGCGCGGGATGATTTTTAACACTTGCCTCCGATTTTAAAATCTTTGTTATTTATATTGTATATATATATATATATATATATACATATATATATATATATATGCAATATATATAACAAAGATTTTAAAATCGGAGGCAAGTGTTAAAAATCATCCCGCGCTATATATATATATGCAATATATATATATATATATAAATATATATATATATATATATATTTTTTTTTTATATTTGCTAAGAAATATACAATATATTTCTAAGAAATTTATATGTAAAATAAAACAAAAATTTATGTAATTAACAGAAATGAGGCCCGAAAAACACAGCTAAAATGAAAAAAGTACGTATTACGCATCGGCGAGTTTCAAGCTGTTTTAAAAAAGTATATATATATAGGTATATATTTTGGCGCTACCTTGCGAAAGCGCTATCTCGCGAAGCGCGCAAGAACGTGCCGAAGACGAGCGCTGACCGCGATGAGGAGCACGCGTGTGGACGTAGTATAACAGTACAGTAGTACACCACGTTTTCACGCTGGTCATCGTGGAGGATGTCGTCGATCTGAACGACGTGCTGTCGACGGGTACGCTCGCGCAACATGTCCCAGTGCTTTCGCACGCTACCCGGCCGGCTGTCGTCGCTCGTCAGCGGCGCCGGCGGCCGAAAACCGTCGTCGAAGCTCGACCGTAACCAGCTGCAGAAGAGCGTGGAGTCGTCCGTTTTCCTGAAGCAGGTGCGCAGTCACGCGCGTTCGCCGATTCCGCCCGGCGTAGATCCCGGTGTATGGCACACGCTGCGGCGTGTAGACGATGCTCACCGGCGGCCTAACCTACAAACGCTTATGTAATCGCACGAGCAACGTTATAGCGACGTTAAACACGCCGATCCGCGAAACGTGGACGTTCGTCGGCAATTTTTGCGACAGCGACGCCCGAAAGTCCGAGCCTCCGGCTCTCCCGGTTGACGCGTGACGATTGAAGACCGATTGACAGGCATCGCGCGTCACGTTGTCGCAAAAATCAAAATGCTCGTACACGCCGGATTGTTTGTTGACGCTCGTTATTCGACACCGCATTCTCCGTTTCGATGATAGACTTTTTCGGAGCGAATCTTTAGTCGATCTAAATTTTAAGCTCTATTCCAAGTGAAAAAATAAAAACCACTGTAGCGCCAATACCAGTAAATCTAATAACTGCTGTATTGATTCATAAATTGGCAATTATTCCTATTAATTACATTCATAATTAATTTCTATTAATTATATTCGTAATTAATTTCTATTAATTATATTCGTAATTAATAGGAATAATTGCCAATTTATGTTCTTGTAGCTTCTTACAGCCTGTATAAATTGCCGTAAACTCTTTATCATGTCTGTGTAAATTTTCAGTTCTTGGGCGCACAGAGAGCACTGTCCGTAAGAGCGAATACCGCTGCGGGCAAATCGGTACCTTTCGCGGGATGTACATTACCTCCAAATGTATCGCTGACGTATCTTGACGTTCATAATCAGTGGAATGGCAAGCTGACCAAACGGTACACTAATGACGAGAGCAAGAGTTCGATGTACTACTGGGTCCAGAGACCGCGCGAGCTGCGCAAGTCACAGAGGCTCGGCGTTACTCCCTTGAGAAGCAAAAAACACGCAGCTCCCATAGGGATCGCAGACAATGTCAAAGTGTTTCAGGCACAAAGTGTTACAGGAAATGATAAGATTAATTCATTTCTAGATAATAATAGGATTTCTTTAGAAAACTTACATAATAATCGAGAAACGAATATTGACAAAAGTTTCTTATTTACCTCTGACGATGCGAGCACTCTAAAGACGAGCTCGCAACAGCCGTCGCCGCAAAAAAACGAGGGTAAACCATCGCAGGAACAACTGCAATCCATAGTCGATTGTCTTAGTCAAGATGTATGTCATGTAATTTATAGGATATACCAGAATTATTGCACTTTCGTTGACTTGAATTCTCCGAAACTACAGTTGCATCCTCTTAGAAGCAAAGTACAATAATTCTGAGATACTCTTAACGTATAATTGTCTAGCATAAGAGGTTCCTCTTGTGCTAAACAATCTTTTTCTGATCGAAATATTGCTTGCAGTTACCAAACCTGTTTGTAAAACCTCAGAATTATTCGATATATACCGATGATCTAATTTTTATCAACAACTTTAGAGGAGTAACGACAAGGTAAAATTAATTTTTATTATCCATCCAAAGCAAATGAGAATATCTAACATCAAGTATATTTCTATTTCTTCACGTGTACTTAAATAAAAAAAAAATATATTGCAGCGGACTTTCGAATTATGTGAAACAATTAATATGGTTGAGGGTAATTGGTCACTTAAAATTTGCACACGTCAAAATGGATATCATAAAGATTACCATGCATCCTGAAAACGACACCGTGCAGGTTCGTTGGCGCATACGAGGTGTCTCGAGTTTGAAGGTGTTCTCCATGTTTTGGAAGTATAAGATTTGGAAAATAAAAGACGCCATAAATACTAATCACGAAGTGTAAGTATAATTCGTGCTGCAAAGGCATTCATGTTAACAGCAATACAATTTTAATAAAACTGTTCTCGTAAACATTAATTAGAAATTAATTAGAAATTGTCTACTATTTAAAAAAGACCTTCGCTTTTAGTTTGAGATTTATTTTTCAAGAAAAAATAAAATATTTAAATTTCCTCTAATTATCTTTGCTTGGAAATAATGTTTATGGGAACTGATTATAATAGCACGATTATACGTAACTGATCATAATAGCACAATTATGTGTAATTGTTTCAGGTGGTACGACGGCTTCTCTACTTTTTACGTTAATGCTAATGGAAAAATCTATAAGCATATTACGGACAAGATGATGCCCGATCAAGATACAGTCACGAAAAAGGAAGATCTGCGTATCGCACCGAAATTAGCACTATTCACAGGTCTCGCAAGTATATTTGGTAGCGACGAGGATTCTTTGAATTGAGCTCCGCCTTAAAATAGCAATAGTTGAAGTGAATCACTGCTCGGGTGATGGAAAAAAAATCATACGATTTTAAATCGTCATAAAATCGTCACAACGAACAAAGGGCATTTTCCACGAGTCGTTGTTGTTTCGCATGTTGCGTATCCATTTCGTTGCGAATGCACATCGTCACGAAACGATGAGTAGTAAATAAGGAATATGTGAATTAAAAAGATGTATATTACCTAAACAGTATCTTTGTATAATTACAAACTACCTACATCTGAGTTTTTAATTATCTTAATGATAGCAATGTCCAAATAACTTTGCATTAGTAATTCTGTAAAAAGATATGACAATTATATTACAGTATATTTGAAAAAATGTTGAAAGATAATTGTTTAACAGAGTTAGTGAAGCATTCTGTATAACATAGCATCTATTTGCTTCGCTTCTGTGGATTGTTAATAACACATAAGAATTAAATTACATTGAAGCAATATTTCTTAAATATATACATATATATATATGTAATTTTTCGTACTTAATTTTATTTTATAAATATTGTCTATCATAATTTACAATTCCTACAAATTATTCCAATTTATTATGCTTTTATCATTCTGGAAATTATAGAAGGTGCCTAAATTGTTACCATTTTGTCCAAATGTGCTTTTATGTACTATTACTATATTTTCATATCTTTTTTTGTTGAATTAAATATATAACCATCTTATGCTGCTTATAAAAAAGTATTTTAAGACACTCGTTTTCAGAATATAAAACTTTGTGTTTAGATAATAAATTGTTTTTTAACACGAGCAGATTATAGACATACTAGTTGCACACAAGGCCTGGAAAAAAAGGAGAAATAAATTATAAATGTTGCACTTAAATGCATTGCAAAAACGATAAGCGTTAATCATGCAGTTACCTAAGTAATCGTCCATTAATGTGCCGATAGCAAACTGAAAAATAAGAAATTTAAAATGTGAATTAATATAATACAGAATGACTTTCATTGTTAATTTAATACTAACAATTCCCGTGGCGTCAACTCTTGTGCCCACAATTTTCAGTCTAATTTCGTCATCCGCCTGGATAACTACATCCTGAAAGACATATTCAAATTTGTTATTAAATTTGCTATTAAATTTAAAATTAAAATTTAAAATTAAAATTTAAAAAATTTAGCAATATACGCATTTTATAACATGACTTACCTCTTCTTTCGATTTGTAACAGGCTGGATTCACATTTGGACAGAACTGCATATCCTCTGGGATTGACTATAGAAATTTGAGAGTCATACTATTTATATCATGTGTGAAATAATTTTATTACTAATATTTTAATTTCATAATTGTTATTACTCACGTGATGAGAAATAAAGCATGAAAGTGGACCTATTTCAGCAAACATTCCAACCTGTAAATATAACAGACATGAATCATTAAATTAAACAATGAATCAATATGGACCATTTCATAGTTTTGAAAAAAATAGCATCTAGTCGTACCTTATTCACTTGAGTCACAATCGCGTCCAACACTTCACCCTTAAATGGCCTGAATACAATCGCTTTATACTTGACAGGATATACTACGAAACCTTGTCCAGGTTGTATAATACCAGCTCCTATATTGTCAATTGTGGTAACAGCGACGACGAAGCCATATCTGAGCAAGCATGTAATTAAAGTAAAGGATCTCGATAAAGGACTTCTGGTATCAAAATAAATAATATCAAAATGAGTAAGATACTCACTTTCCTGTACAGGTGCCTTCCACCTCTGTATAGAGCTTCTGCTTCACAGTGTCGAGTAATTGAGGACCGAAGTACCGGGGATGCAACAAAATCTCATGTTCTAACGAAATCTGTAAATATTTATTTAAGAAATTAGAGAGCGAAATTAATTTTGTACTCCTTTGAATAATTAATAGTACATTGCAGACATACAAAAAAAGTTAACTTACGTGGTAAAACATGTTTAAATAGCTGTGAATATATTATAAATATCTGATCCGGCCTAAATTTGTGGAAATGTATGTAATGATTTTAGCCAAGATTTTACTAAATCAGTAATTTTTTTGCCTAACTTTTACCGGTTCCACGAATATCCGATATAGTAAACAAATCTGTATAGGTTAGATTGCATTCGCCAGTAAACATTCGAGCACATTCAAGACTGACACCACCCGACGAAGACGCCGAAGACGGATTTTAACGGAATTTAAGTCCCTATTGCGCGTCATTATTCTTTATAGCTTATGGCGCATTTTATAAATGTAGTTATTTTCCTTTTTAGTAAAAAATTAATAAATTTTATTTCTATAATTTCAAATATCTAGAAAACACATTTAATAGAAAAATGTAGTTAGTTCGCACTAAAGATTCGAGATGAAATTTTTTAATATTATAAAATTATATTTTATAAATATATAATTATATAATTTTAAATATTTTATATAGTAAAAATTGATATATTGGAAAAACTCAGTGCTAAGCAAAAAATCAAAATTTGACTCTCATACTTCTATCATACTTCACATATATGACTATAATGTAATTTAATTAAAGATATCCTATTAATAGAAACAAAAAATCAAAATTATATAATTTTAAATATTTTATACAGTCCGAAAATTGATATAAGATATTGGAAAAACTTAGTGCTAAAGCGAACCGCCTAAGCAAAAAATCTAAATTCGATTCTCACACTCCTATCACGCTTTACATACATGGCTAAAATCTACTGGGAAGATATCCTATTGATGGAAACGAAGAATCAAAATATGAATTTAGCCTCAAGGTAATCTAAGGATAAACAAAACAAATTAACTCAACGTCCGTTAGAGAATGAAACAAACAAGTTTTTAAAAACAAAGCCTGAGTTTTCAGATGAAGATCGAAAAAGATTTATGAATCCTCAAAAATTCGCCATTACAATGCAGCTACTTATACAATTTTTGAAGGGAATATAAAATAAGTAGTTATATAAGAATTATATTTATTTATTGATCAAGACACATCTTGAAAAAGATAAATGAATGAGTAACTTGTAGACGTCGATGCCAGGAATAATCGATAACAAAGATAAAATAACATATATTCCAACTGATCCTAACTTAATAAACTAAAGAAAAAAAAACTTTCTTTTCAAAATATATCTATGCATATACTCTATACTGTAAACTCTCTTCAGTACATATAAAACATGAAGATTCTCTTTTCTCTGGCATCTCGTTAGCTTTTTATTCTTCCAGTTGATTTACTTGTTTTCCTTCCAATAGGTACGAGTGGATTTCTCAACAAAATGCCCATTTCCAGAACTACCACTTGCATAAGAACGTTCGCGGACGATAACACTGTTTCGTCCCTCCTGAAAATCAACAGAACTCATCAAGTCGAAGAAAAGGAGATGGAAAAGTTGAATGAAGATAACATCAAAGAATTCAACTCGACTGTATTTAATTACTGTATTAATTCTATAAAATGTTTCTAGAATTGAAGCACGAAATTTAAGAAATATATTATCACATTGTATCATAATTATTAATAAATTATATACACCAAAATCACTTGAACTATTTTGTTCATTAAATTATACGTATGTACATGCTTTGGCATTTTCCAAGAAATTTTATTTCATACCGTGTAATCAGTGCTTCGATAGAAGTTAACTTCTCCCTGACCACCTCTTGATGCAACTTGATTGCCACTTCGTGAAGCTACAGCTCTACTGTTGGAATCAAATGATTGCCCGCGGTTTCCTCCTGAAGAATGTTGATCAACAAAATCCCAAGCTTTATCCGGTGTACTAAACCCCTTAAAATTGTTGCGAGAATATCCATCGACTTGATCTTTGCAGTCCTGCCTGCAATAAAAAAAATTGTTGTTTAGACTTTGATTGGAAATACTTATTTATTTCATTTCAATTATTTCCTTACCAATTGTCGTAAACACCAGTTTGACGACCATTGGCCACAGCGTAGTAGTTCTTCTTAGGCATTCTGCAAAAAAAAAAAAAACAAAGTTTAGAAAATTTCACTCAATTTTTTGCATTTCCCGTTACTACTATTATTTTTATTATCATGCCATTAATATATATTTTAGACTTGCAGAACAGAAAGTGAAAGATGTTAAAGAAAAGAGAAATGTCAAGTATAATTAGATCTTTAGCATTTATTCTCTTTCTTTTTTTTTCGTCTCGGGAATACAAATATTAAAAGTAAGACAAATGTGTTCAAAAATTTTTTTCTTTTGTCTATAATTATGATCACGAAGAGACGTTACATCGAAAGGCGCACGATCACAAAGGAAAAAAAAAAAAAGATATACATATAGAAAGACATTAATTCTTAAACAAGTTCAATCGTTGCGTTAGCTAATAGTTACAAGTAATTAATACCGATTAATCCGTGATATTCTTTTTACATTTAAGTCCCGTAAGGTACAGAGAATTATCTTATCGCGAAACGAAGCTACGACGCAACAGGACAAAGAAGCAACAGGTCGTCGCCACGCGGCTCGTGCGGCTTAACGAAGAAATGATAATTATCCGAGATCTTCATTCTTTTCACGAATGAAAAATGTTATATTCATTGAAATACTTACTTGATCAATCTGGCGATATCACCAATTTACAGAGGAATCACAATGACTTTCAGTCTTCAGTGCCGCTTAGCTCAGCTCAGCTCTGCCCAGCAGATCACCTCGTACGAAAATGGTTGTCCGCGTTGTCCTTTGTCTTTTCGTCTTTTGTTCAGCAGCGGGGGCTGGCATTAATCATATATATGCACGCACACATATATATGTGCTTTGCTTAGGAAATTCAAATGAAAAAACAATTCCTGTGATTCCCTCTGGTATCACGTTTCCAACAGTCGCGTGTCACGTGACTGTTCGAGAAATTTTATTGGCAGAAAATAGGGAAATTTGGGCTGCTTTTCTTTTGAATTCAACACAAATTAATACTCGTAAATATATTTGTATAATTGTACGACAGATTGCTTTTCCTTCAAAAAGCATATATGTCGAAATGTGTCGACGAAATGTTTCTCAAAAGGAAAGAATTGCCTTAATTGGAGGAATTCACGCCTTGAAGAAAGAAGAACACCCTGAAGCCAATCAGAAGTTTGCACTTTTAGTGCTCGGCCGAGTTTGAAATTACATGATGTTTCATATACAAATGTATAGATGTCTCCCACGAAGACTAATGGTCGATCAGGTTATGTCAGATCAAAGAGCCTGTTTGCGAATATAACTTCGCGCGCGGTAAATCCAAAAGTCCGAAGGTTTATGCGGTCGGCGAATTTCACGGAAAATGGCATTTTCGCAATCACATCAGCAGGAGCTGATTGAACTGGCTGAAATAACGGGAATCTCCGCGGTACCCGGTGTTTTCCGGTGAGACAGTCGGCAACTTGTCGAAAGTGGGACCTAACCTCCACATGATTTTACATCGCAATGTAATCACTCTGTTTACAGCATCGTGTTGGAATTACTGGCGTTGCAAGTGTCTCCGGAGGACATTTACACTCTCCTTAAACAAATATCGACGAGGTCGTCGAAATCGTTAAGCCGGCAGACGACGAACGAGGGTGCGCACGCTTCTACCTCGTCTACGAGGAAATAATATTTGCATACTAGGCTTACTTGTTTGGCAATTGATATCCTTAATTATCTGGTACAAAACAGAATGTATTTATGTAGATAGAAATATAAAAGTAACTTATATTTTCCTAGGAATAATGTATAGTATAAAAAATAAAAGCTCAATCTAATAATGCATATATTTGTTTCTTGATGAGGACTAATCATTTTTCCATTAAATACAATTTAGTTTTAATTTAATTGTAGGCATCTGTTTTTTTATATGTGCAAAAGTATAACAGTATTATAATTTTAATAATTTTTGTATCTCATTGCATTATATTTTTTTATTACAATCTTTAGTCATTAATAGAAATGTAATAAAAATTAATTTATTAATTTCTACACTATATTTTCTACAGAAAATTGTGTATACAAAAATAAAATAACTAAATAATCTAGAATGCAATTTATAGAAAGTCCCTTGTACTTTTTAATCACTTGATTAATCTTGTCTTTTATACCGCAAACAGCCTTCTCTTGCCAGTTTGTCTGCCATTTCATTACCATGAAGTCCTGCATGTCCAGGCACATGATTCTAGAAAATTAGACATTCTATATTTTTACAATAATGTATATTTATATTAATTGTAAACATTTATATATATATATATATATACATATATATATATATATGAAACTTTTTAGAAATGTTATTTCCTTGAAACTTTAAATAAAAAATTGCTTACCCAAGCAACAGTCAAATTCTCCAGTTCTTTCTCCATTTCTAGCAGCTCTGTTTTATTTATAACTGGCTTGCCGACTATAGTCTTCCATCCTCTGCTCTTCCATCTTGGCATCCATTGCGTAATGCAGGAGATAAGAAATTTGGAATCTGTGTTGATTCTCAGCTTCTTGATTCCCGCCTTCTTCGCCTGCCTCGCTGCTACCGTGACAGCTTGGATCTCTGCCATGTTGTTGGTAGGTCGTCCCTCCACCGGTTGAGATACGTTTCTATAAATATTACAACTATATTACGCGCAGATTCATAGAATTTTAATAGACAATCGACGAATCTGAGAAATAAAACATACAAAGGATGATTGTCTCGGAACCAAACGCCAATACCGGCTCGCGCGTCTTTGCTTCCGTTCGAACTGCATGCACCATCCGTGAAAACGTTCACGTAACCATTTTCGTCCACGATCAAGTCCTCTTTGTTATCCTACATAATAATCCCAAATTTGCATTTTTCGTAATATAATTGATTTTTATAATTTATTATATATTATACTATTATATATATATATATATATATATATATATATATATATCTCAGAAACTACGACTACTTTATAAAGTGAAAAAAATGAGTTATATGTTCTGATATTAAAATTAAAAAATTTACAAAAAGTAACAGAATTGATTAATTTAGCTTCTGAGAGAATTCATTTAATTCTTGTAATGTACTCTTTGCTCCAAACCTGAGTTGATTCAAGGCAATTTGATACGTCTGATGCTATTTTCCTCTTTTTGCTTGGTTGCTCATTAGAATCGCTACTTGTTGACAAAGTTCTCTTTGGGATTGATAATAATTTTGTCTGTGCCACAGACTGCTTGCCACCAAGTGCAAACAGCTGTTTCGGCAGGGCTTGAGATCTAGATAAAATGTTAGCTTTAAATATTCTTGCAATAAGATTTCAGTTTTATTAATTTTGTGACACTTTTTTCTTATTTATGACAAATAGGGGAATAATTTTACTAATATTTACCTTACAGATTTAACAATTTCCGACGAAGCAAGCCCGTTGGAAGAATTTGTCTCCACAGTTGAAGAGGAACGCTCTTTTATAAAACTCTGAGCCTCGCTTTCTGTTGCAAATTTCTTATATATTGATCCAGGAAATTTAATAACCTGAGCACTGCATTCACCCCTATTAAAAACACAAAAATTCTTATCTAATAAAACTTTTATTTTATTTGCCAATAATTGATTAGATCATTGAATTAGTTTCCCTACCACGTGGCGTAAATTCCAGGCTTTCGACCCCTGGCTACTGCATAATAAGGCATTTTGCTTAAGAAATAATGCCTTGCTGTAAATACGAAATTCAATTTCATCAATTTGTTCAGTACAAACGATCTTTAGCCTGGAGAATCATATCTTTATTAATTAATGTACTTCTATTTTTACTGCCAGTATTAATATTAATACGTCACTTTCAGAATCTTCTCACAAAAAAATTAGAAAATCTTTCAGAACTTTTCACTGACTGTTCACATACACGTTATGAACATATATACCCTGTTATTGATAGAATAGGAATAATTGAGTGTAAGTACGTCTGCAAAGAATAAAAAATAGTAATTAATTAAGATGCATTTTTTTATGACACAATTATCTTAACAGGTAATTATTTATTTAGCCATATGAAATTAGCAGCTCTACAATATTGGTACAAATTACACTTACGTAATTTTGAAATATAATTTTTGTGAAATTATAAATGAGATTAGTATTTCACAATTTAATCACTATTTTCAGTAATTTATCTGTGTTCACACATTTTGCAATTTATCTTGTTGATTAAATTTACAGTCCACCTGTACACCAAGCAAAAGATTATAAACCGTTGAGGTTATATTCCAAATCAGTTTGGGTGCAGCTCCCTCACACTCGTTTCTACTGTGCGTAATAAGACTCGTAAACAATTGCAATTGCGGAGGGTTTTTTTTTACAGAGAGTAATTTTACGAAGTTTATACATGTCTGTATAAACAATACAAATAAAACATTTTATTTGTTTTATATACATTTATTAACATGAAGCTATAATGGTTGTACTGCAATGCTATACACCGTTATGAAAAATACAACAATAACGTAACATTTTTTTATATATAGGATAACTTCTTTAAAAGAATTATATTCAACAAGGACAGGGCATGTGTTAAGCTAAAGAGAAAATTTATAAATGATACCAACGGTAAATATACATATATAAATCTTAATGTATAAAAGAGTGAACACAAAATATTAAAAATATTAAAAATAATAAATTATCTCGTAAGTATGTCGTTACAATGTCACAATAGTCGTCATATCACGGGGTAAAAAGATATTCGTGTATAGTCCATTCGCACGAACTTTCGTCGCCGTGTATGATATTTCAAATGTAAATTAAAAATTGTCAGACATCCAAGGGCAGAAATGCAATATAAATAAGTGCAGGCTCGTTCGCTGTAACGTATTCCCTTGTAAAATCACAATTTTCACAATAATAAAATCGCGGTAGACCGAGATGCCAAGCCCGGCTGAAATGCTTGGGTCAAAGCAACCCAAAAATGGACGTGCCGACCTGTTTGTGGAAAAAAATATGAGTATATCCTTTCGCGGATTAACAGCGCAATTCAAAACACATTTCTTTCTCGCGAAAAATAATCCTATTTCTCCGCTTTCGGGGGCGTAGCGTACATTACATCGAAGAGAGCGAAGTCTTTTTTTTTGGAAGATGCTGGTGGCGCTTTTGAAAATTGTTACTGAATATACTTCCGGAATGCTAAATCGCCTCGTAGGCCACATCGACGCCGATTCTCGTGACCGAGCCGTTCAAAAATTCCTCGAGCTCGTCTCGTTCTCGATTCTCGTCCTTCGACCGATGCGACGAGCGTTTCTTCTTTTTCTCGGTCTTCTCCGTTTTCTCCTTATCTTTATCCTTGTCTTTTGACTTCTTCTTTTTCCTCTTCTCCTTCTCGTCCCCCTAAAAAAGTCGGCAAAAAAAAATAGATAAATCCGTAATTCAAAATCAATTGAAAAATCGGAAAAGATACATTCTTTGGGTCAAGAATCTTCTTTTTAAGTTACCTTGTCTTTGTGTTTCTTTTTCTCCTTCATCACCGGACTACTGGCATTGGAGCTCACGTGGCGCGTACTGGTGTCATCAAGCAGCTCCAGGTGAACATTGGAACTCGTTACGCTAACGTCCAGACTTTTATCGCTCAATTCCAGTCTATCTTTCCTCGTGCTAGTGCTACTCACGTCTTCGCCTCCTTCAGGACTTTGCCGCCACTTAGAATCTCGTCGCAACCAGCTGTCAAAAGCGTCCGAGCTTATGTCTGGTTGCTCGTTCGATTCGTATTCATTGGAGATACGCAATTCTTGCTCTATAGAGGAAACGGAATCGCGCTTCGAGTCTTGTTTTGGCTTCTCGATATTTATCTCTGGACCTGATAATGGCTCTAATTTGTGTTTCTTGGACAGCGGATTCTCCGCCAATTTTGGCTGTACAGGAGAAACTACTTCTTCAATGGACGACAAGTCATCCTCGTAACCGGCCACCAAAGGATTACCAGTCTCCATGTCACTGTGTAAAAAGAAATTATATTGTAACGTATATTGACATATGTATATTAACGAATATGGATTATACGATACATATTGAAGAATATAGGTAAGAATTATATATGACTGCTTACAAATTTGCAAAAGATAATAAATAACCATCGATATGCATTAAGAAAATAAAAAGAGAAATACAAGAAATTAAATATATTTTACTATTTAAGAAATGGTAATAATCATTTACACAAATTTATTTTAATATTAATAAAAATACTTGATAATAATTTAATATCTTTAACCATTAAAATATATTTGAACACCAAATAAAAAATAATTTATTTTAAAAACAAAAATTGTATGTATTACTTTTTGGTTTTCTATTCTACTGACATTTTTTTTTAAATACAAGTATGAAATAGTTTAGGAAGCTTTTTTCTTACCTCTCGGATTCTGCCTCTTCTTGAGTTGGTGCAAGATCCGGCTCCGGGGTGAGGGAATTGGAGCTCACGCTGCAGCCTTCCAAAAACGATTTGTCCAGCATTCCGTCCGGTATGAAATCTTCAACACTGGTCAACGGTACGCTTGAATTAACATTTTTTATATTTGGCAGTTTCCCGTCCGTCTCGTCTTCCTTCTTGTGACCGAAGATTTTGGACATGAGCGACGATGGCCGATTGAGCGAGTCTCTTTTCTCACCAGTGTTATTCGCGGATTCAACCGGTTTCGCCACTTCTATCTTAGCGGCGGAATTTTGCGAAATAGATGATGTCGTAATCTGTGACGTTTTCGAATTAGATGCATTATCCAATGTACTACTCGCCGTAGAGCTCTCTTTCCTCTGTATCGATTTCATATCCAAATTTTTCACCGGTATTGGAGTTCCGCCACCAATCGGACCGGGCATCGAGGCCGACCTTTTGACCTCTCCGACGGCATTCGCGTTGGAAGGTGCAAGGTGATAGTTACTCATGGACGACGGAACATTTGAGACTAGATTACTGGCGGATACCGAGTCGGCGAGGGCTCTTCTACGGTTCACGAGATTGTCGAGAAATTTGTTGTAATCAGCGTCGTCACTGTCCTGGAAGAGGTCGAGCTCCTGGATAGTCAAACGCGTCTCCTCCTCGTTGGTTTCCAGCTGCTTCAGCAGTGTCTCGCGTTGCAGTTGCAGAAACGGTAGATTAAAAAACTTGTGTAGCAATTTTAGGCCGAAGCCGTTTCGCATCGACGACTCCGCGTACCTCACCTGCAACAATTCATTCGACTTCAGATTTAAGTAAAGTTTTTCAGTTGGAGTTGATAATTAAATGCTGAAAGGAAGCGAAGAAAAAAAGAATCGAGTCCGTAATTTTCAACGATGAGACATGTGCGAGATTGAAACTGTAGTTTTGTACAGTGATTACACTTATTTTTTAAGAGAGCTTGTCCATTTAAGTAAATTTAAGTCGCTGTGTTACCGTCAAAACCCATAATCCATTAAAATCCGAATTCACCAGTTAAAACTATGGTTGATTAGATCTAAAATCGAAATAATTTCCGTTTTCCATGTGAAACAGTATAATTATAGACCCCGTTTCAACTTAATTTAAGACTAGTTTTAACTAGTGAATTCGGGTTTTAATTATTATGGGTTTTGACGATAATTAAGCTACACTCATTGCAGCAGTCTCATAACAATATTAGGTATACGTAAAGTTGGCTTCTTTCCTAAAAGTTCGATAATGCATCGATAGGTGCTGATCAACTCTCGAGCTAAATGCTCGATATTATAATTACACAAGTCAAGCTTTTTTTTTGAAAAGAAAATGTAAAACCGAATTAATAAGATATGATTTTAACGATTTAATATTTATTTAATAATTTTAATTGTTTCAATTACTTGTGCTACTCTCTCGTGCAGCGAATCGATGAAGTACGTCACGTGATCCGCGGTGATGGTTCTGTGATGCGACATGTCGCAGTGGTTGCCGAGGACAATGACAGGTATGTGACCGGGTATCTTCGGCAGCTCACGCTGGACGTAGTCGAACGTCCAGTTCTTCGTGATGTCCATCACGATGATGACGCCGTTGGTGCCCTTGTAAACGTCGAGAAACTCGGCGTCCAGGGCAGGCTCCTCGATCGCGTTCTCCGCGCTCGCCGGAGCATTGTCCATTTTCAGACCCTCCAACTTCCGCCGGCGTCTACCGCGATCTACGACATCCCATACCTCCACTTTGACCACGTCGTCGGTGGCTTTGTAATTCCACTGTATACTCGCCACCTGTATCTCTTCCGTGGGTACATACTCTTCGATAAACTTTTGCCCCTGCAGTCTATAGAATAAACATGTCTTTCCTACATTCCTGTCTCCCTTTATTATTATTTTCACTAAAAATAAAGTTTGCATTACAACTGATATTCCGCATCCCATTCGTCTGCACGCAAAGCACACACATGTATATACTTACTATTATATTGCACACCTTTGGCAAACTTCCTCTGAAGATTCGTCGGCATGGATTGATGGGCCGGTCTTGGGGACGCATTGCTGACCCCATCGGATTTGCCGGCTAATCTCTTAATGGCAGAAAACATCATGCGATTCCTCAAAGAAGCATCAGTTCAAGAAATTAACTTCGATACCTAGAAAGGAGAGTTGACCATAAATACCTGTAGAAAATATATTAAAATGAAAAGTATCATATAATAAAAATAATATAAAAATAGTAACATAAATATATCATAATTTTTATTGAATAAAAAACCGTGGACTACACAATTTTTGCCGTTGATCATTAGAGAACACTCTGTGGTATACAACGCAAGCCAAAAACATATTGCAAGGCGATAACGGCGGTAAGTAGCTTAATTACTCATTATTATAGCGATTATTACGGCGTTGACGAATACCGTCCACGTCGTTACCCGCGAAGCATATAAGTCCCTCGAGAACAGACGGGGACACGAGCATCGGAGCAATTAAAGCCCACGCATCATGTACGAGATCCGCGACACTCTAACCCAAAAATGAATTTTTCTCCACGGCGTCGTTGGGAGAGTCGGATGAATCACGCGAAGCGGCCGAGATCGTCCCGGGGAAATTCGTCAAGAATCCGCGTGAAATCGCGCTTACCACATGTGTCGCACGCGCCGAACCCCGTGAATCGAAGCCGGATCTCTTGCCGCTGGATGCGCTCTTTAGACAGCTGTCACGCAGCAGCAGCTGTTTCTGTCTCTCTTTCTCCCTCCCCTCTACGTTGGCAGCACCGGAGAGAATCCGAGAGCGGACGTGCCGGCCTTTTGGCTGCAATGCTAAAATGCCCTCGTGCACTAACGCCCTCTGAAGAAGTGAATCAAAATTACATAGCAAAATCCAGTTTTTTTGCACAATTTGTGGTGCGTGTCCGTACTAAACCCCCTATTCGAGTCTGCTGGATTTTTATTCTCGAAAAATTACGTATGCAAAAGTATGTACATTTCCGTACTTTCTAATGCGTAATTTTTCGAGAATAAAGCTCTAATTACTGCAGACTCGAAAAGTGGGTTTATAGTACGGACACGCACCACAAATTGTGCAGAAAACTGGATTTTGATATGTAATTTGAATTTATCATTGATACAATTTTTTTAATTCAGATTGAGAAATTAAACGCTTCAAAGCATTTGTAGCGTCACGTGGACCGCAGCTCGGGTTCTCAGTTTCTCACTGCAGATATAATTTCATTAAGTAGAATTTCCGACGCTACGAAACAGGCGAGAAAGGATCTAACATCATTTTCCATTTCATTTATTTGCAAATAAGTTATGTTACAATTAAACATTGAGAGCATGTTGATAAAAAGAGGCCAGTGCCATTTCTGTCATTATCCGTCAGTCTGTAAAACGAAGTACGAACGTTTTTATGCGGCCGCGCAGCGCGCCGAGTGCCGAGTTAGGACTGTAGTGAACGCGGGCCACGGTTGCATGTAACTATATACACTTTAGCGCGAACCATGGAGAGAGACCGCCTCACCCGCCCGTGTCAATTTTCGGCGGACGATTAGGAGTAAGGAGCGAGATGCCATATGTATAACCGGCGCGCAATAAGATATGAATCACGAATGTATTGCCGGGACGGTCAGATTCGGAAGTCGAAAGAAACGATCAAGTCGAAACAATCGGCAATGATTTGGCTTCTATATATATAAAACTGTCTGCTGTTTGAACTTCATTCATTTGAATAAATTAATAGTTATTTTCCTATATGCTTTAATTATGATCGTTTTTAGAAGGAGCTACTCGTGCAATTAAATAACTATTAAGGACGATATCGAGGAACATGTGTTTTATATTTCGTAATAATCGGCCGACTATGGCGGTATCGGGAGTCGGGACTGCTGACGCGGTCACGTCGGAGTCCCACAAGCAAAAGCTTCCTCATCGCGTATAAGGCTCGTAGCTCGTAGCGTTCCGCTTATATACCGACTCGAGTAGCCAGCGCCGCGCCAATCAGAGCGCTTGGTGGCGCGGCACTGCAGCTACTATATATACTGCGCGTAAGCTGCCGCGCGCGGCATAAAGAGTCCAGTCTGCAGTCATTTCACATCGAGCTCGGGCTGCTCGGAGGAGCGTTGCGTCGGTCTTGCGTCGTCGGTCATGCAAAAGGATGACGTAGCTCAGTAGCTATATAATGATCTAGGATCGCAGCAGTCGTAATTCATTAACAAATCCTTCCAGGAGTAAATTTTTTGGTACGCTCTAAGAATTTCTTTATCGTTAATTGCGTAAGATAGCAAAGCCGACGAAACGACGCAATACATTTCGCGTGCGGTCAGAGCTCACGCAACACAAGCGTGGCAACGCGTTGGCGGCAACGCTATAATATATGCGTTCTACTTTTAACTTTGCGTCTATGCATTTTCCGCATTTCGAGTAATAAATACTATATACGTATATTCCATACGTATATTCCTATATGTTAACATATATACATAACACGAAATTAAGAGTAGGAATGCGGATCGGCGCCGCTGCACCGCGTCGCTTTCAGCGCGTGAAGGCCGTGAAGTTGACCTCGTCAGAAACGAAGCACTTGAGCGACGCCGCAACTCTTTTAATAGACAATTAGCGATAATTATATCAATCTTGTTTATTTAATTCATGTAATATAGATTCGGCACTCTGATTCGATCGGATGCGTATTTCGCAATACTCGTTCGATCGAAAATCAAGATGTGCGTAGCGTCGCCGCGCGCCGCTGTTGCACCGACGCCGCCGCAGCGCGTACGGTGGCGCTATTGGTACGCGAGCCGCGCAGTTGATCGCGCGGATAAACGACACCGCTTCACTATATTTTAGTAGCGTTTCTTTTATATCATTTTAGAACTCGATACGAGAACAAGACAGATCATTTTCGGAACGAGAGGCGTCGCGGCTAATATAATTGGTAAGTGGGACTTTGCATTTAATTGTCTAATATGTCGCACTATCGCCGTCGCCACTGCCGCCGACCCGCGCCGCCGCGACACTTGCTTCGCGTAAGCTGACCGCGTGACAAACTGCTCCGCTTCATTATCTTAATTACGCATTTATCCATACGTATGGCGTACGTTAATATACAGCGAACATATGGATAAACGTATAACTAAGGTAGTGAAGCGGCGTAATTCGTCTTGCGTGCCGTCAGCTTACGCGAAACAAGCGTCGCCGGACGCGTCGGCGGCGATACACATCTTGATTTTCGGCCAAACGAGTATTGCGATACGCATCCGATCGAATCAGAGTTCGAATGCCAAATCTATATTACTCGTTAATTAGATGCAAGATTGATCGGATGCGTAATTCGCAATACTCGTTCGACCGAAAATCGAAATATGTAGCGTCGGCGTCACCGCGCGTCACTGTTGCCGCCACTCTCGCCGACGCGTCGCCGCGCGCCGCTGTTGCACGGACGCCGCCGCAGCGCGTACGGTGGCGCTATTGGTACGCGAGCCGCGCAGTTGATCGCGCGGATAAACGACACCGCTTCACTATATTTTAGTAGCGTTTCTCTTATATCATTTCAGAACTCGATACGAGAACGAGACAGATCATTTTCGGAACGAGAGGCGTCGCGGCTAATATAATTGGTAAGTGGGACTTTGCATTTAATTGTCTAATATGTACAGCATCGCCGCACTATCGCCGTCGCCACTGCCACCGACCCGCGTCACCGCGACGCTTGTTTCGCGTAAGCTGACCGCGTGACAAACTGCTCCGCTTCATTATCTTAATTACGCATTTATCCATACGTATGGCGTACGTTAACATACAGCAAACATATGGATAAATGCATAACTAAGATAGTGAAGCGGCGTAATTCGTTTCGCGTGCCGTCAGCTTATGCGAAACAAGCGTCGTGGCGCGGGCGACGCCGGACGCGTCGGCGGCGATACACATCTTGATTTTCGGCCAAACGAGTATTGCGATTACGCATCCGATCGAATCAGAGTTCGAATGCCGAATCTATGTTATGCGTTAATTAGATGCAAGATTGATCGGATACGTATTTCGCAATACTCGTTCGATCGAAAATCGAAATATGTAGCGTCGGCGTCGCCGCGCGCCACTGTTGCACCGACGCCGCCGCAGCGCGTACGATGGCGCTATTGGCACGCGAAGTCGATCGCGCGGATAGACAAAACCGCTTCACCATTTTAATAGCGTTTCTTTTTTTATAATTTCAGAACTCGATACGAGATAGATGATCTTCAGAACGAGAGGCGTCGCGGCTAATATAATTGGTAAGTGGAACTTGTATTTGCATTTGTCTGGCACGTAGCATCGTCGCATTATCGCCGTCGCCACCGCCGCCGACCCGCGTCGCCGCGACGCTTATTTCGCGTAAGCTGACCGCGTACGGGATAAATTGCTCCGTTTTCATTATTTTAATTACGTTAACGCATAAACGCTGCCGCCGTTGCTGCAGCGCTCATTTCGCGTAAAGTTAATCGCGCGCGAGACGAAGCATACTCCTTTGCTATCTTAATTATATTAATGTTTTAATTGCAGGACGTGATGGATACAGAACGCAACGATAGCGGAACGAGTACTATCACGAGTCATATAATTGGTAAGTGCGAAACTTATGTTGAATTTCGTACATTCTATTTTTTTGTTGTCGCAATATTATTAAGTTACGTGTGATTTATATTGAGAACATACGAGGTATAATAACCGTGTGATCGTCTTTTTAGTAATTTAATTACTATAATTATAATAAAATAAAAATTTTTCCAACAATTTCAAGAACCATACGCGAATATATTTTATTTAATATATGTTTTTATATAGAGAACATTATTTAAGTTTATTGAAATTTGTACATTTGCGATGCTTTTAAAATACCAGTAGCAAATTAAAAATGGCAAATAAAATTTAATAATTAATTTAAAATTTTTTTCTGATTTAGCTTTAAAAGAAAAAATATTAAACATATAAATCATATTAACATATAAATGATGATCATAAACAAATCATATTTTTTAGCCAGTTTTCTAAATTGACTTTAATAAAAATTTTATTTGTAATAATAGAAAAATATGTCATGTAATTAAAAATTAATGAGATTATAAATTTATAATTATTAAAAAATATTTAATTTAAAGATGAAAATGTTTGAATATTTGTAAGAATTATCTTTTAAAATGTTGAATTTTCTGAATTTTGTTTTAATTTGAATCAGGAGGCTTAATCCAAATATTCTACGAGGAGACTTAACAACATCTAATTGCCCTGAGAGGAGGAGGAGGCTTAGCAGAGGCATCTGGCCCCGGTGGAGCAACCTTGGGGTAAATATCATTTTTTTACTTGCATAAAATCAAAAGTTTTTATTTATTTATTTGGACGATTTATTTTAATAAATTACAAGTAATTACAAATAAAAAAAATTATCTAAAATTTTATTAAAATTGAATAAACTTATAAAATTTTTTTGAAGAAATAGACAATTATACTAGTAAATATAACATTTAATTGAAAAACAAATAAAAATTCAATTAATTCAATACGCACAAAAATTGTCTCTTAAGACAATGATTATTTTGAACAACGTTTTAATTTAAATCT